GAAATAGGACTGAAGATAAACCTTTCCAAAACTATGATCTGCAATTGGAATGAAAGCAGTGATGGCACATACCCTGAATCCATCATAGAAATTCAGAATGGGAATTAGTAAATACTAAACACTTCAGATATCTCAACAAAATTAGTCTAGGAGAAAGGGAAATTGAGCATAGAACAGACTGCACCAGATGTAGTTTCACCCAACACCTCAAGTTGCTACAAAACCAAAACATTAACCTAATTAAACTACTTCAAACAACAGCTTAGGATGGAATCTCCTATCAGTACTGAAAAAAGTGATAATAGTTACTGGACTTGAGAAACCTATTTTCCTGAAAAATTGTTGTAATAGAAAGATTTGATAAAATTCAACTGATGATAGCATTGGTTGCTTAATTAATGAATGCCAAATATTTCTTTATAAGGAAATGGCTAATTTTTTCATTAGAGATGAGGAGAACAGATACTACATTTTGATCCTAGCCCAATGACTAGTTAATGAAGAAAAGTGTAACTTGTGTCACACTGGTGTTCGGTCAATGGATGCTGAATGTTTCCTTGTAAGGAAACAGCAAATATAACCAAGAATAAGATTTACAAATATGGACTATTTTTTCTTTTTTTTTTTTTTACTAAAATTTTCATTTTTTTGTACTATTATTTTATACTTGTTTACAATGTCATTCAGATTAATGGGAGATTTTTTTTTTTTATTTTAGAGTAAAATTATGCAACTTTAACCAACATTTTATTTGTCAATAATATCTTTTTTATCATCTGGAATAATTTTCTTCTAATTATCAAACATTATTTTACACAAATTCTCTTTCTCTTGATCCTTAGTATAAATTTTCATTTCTAAAGCAGCCAAGTAAATAAAATAGAAAACAAATCACACGCTTGTGCAAATTAATGGAAACAAAACAAATAATTCTGTTATTATTTACTGTTTTTGTATTTTTCTAATGAAACATGACCCAGTGCACATGTTAGCACTTTGTATGTTTATTCCACAAAATCATTCCTTGCAGATTGACCACAGATTCTTGACTGGATTTAAATCAGGAGATTTTCTGCGCCAGTTTTAGTACTTTGATTTGCTCACTGATAAGGCTTGCCAGTGTATTTGTGCAGCATTACAATTTTCATACACTTTCCTAGAGTAACATCCATTGCAGACAATGACTGTAGGACAACTAATCGACAGTCGAGACAATAGTGTTTGGGTGTGATGAAAATCTGATGCAATCATGGATGATGCAATATATTTCAAGGCCAAACAAATTTCATCATACAACCCGAAAATAGATTCATATTACTGCACACCACTGCAATTGACCTAATCTGAGGAAAAAATAGAAATCGATTACACCCTGTCACTCCAGCGGGTTTAAAACTGACCATATGGTGAAAGAAAGGAAACTAAAGTGGTTGTTTCAATTAATTTGCACAAGGGTGTAATTTAAAATATTAGTTCTACCTTCTTACATAACATTAATGATGTTCATATTTTATTTGTTGCTGCCTAAAATAACATTTTTACTGAGGGAAACTTCTTTTAGAATCAAAACTATAAAACATATTGAAGGCAAAAGAAGCATGTGAAGCAGCAAGTAACCTATTTAAGGAATGTGTGAATAAAAGATAGAACAGGGATAAAGAGGAAGGGTAAAGGGCAAAAAGTTACTTAGAGCAATAAAAAACAGAAAGCTGTGGAGAGCCATGATCACCTATGTCACATGAAAGAAAGTATTTGGGAATTGAAATTTTTCCTTTAAAATTAAATTAATATATTCTCATAATTAATTTATTATACCAATATTTGGTTCATGTTACGAATACATTGTTTCTGTCATAAAAATTATTGGAAAATGATATGCAGTTCTAATTTTTTTTTTCTAAATTTATTTTATTCATTTATAGAGTTATTTCCCTTTATTTTAAGTTGTTCTCTTTATTGCCACCAGAGTTAGAATTAATGAACTGCTAAACTAACAATCTACAACACTGAATATTGTGCTCAATAGTTTCTGCTATTTTTTTTATTATGATTTTATTAGTTTCTTACTTGGTCAATAAAGTGTAAATGAAAATGACTTTAAAAATCAGCAATAAAATTACTTTTAAATTTTGCATACCAACTGTTGAATTAATTTAAAGATTAAATCTTTTATGTGACATGCATAATATTTTGATTATCACTGATTGGTTATCCAAAGTCTGCTCTCAAATCTGGACAAAATATTTAAGTATTCACGAACATTCGCTAAAAATATAAGAGAAATATTACAAAAGAAAAAAAAAACCCTAAAAAAAAAAAATGTCTTCCCTTCCTCATCCTCCACCTTTTCCTCTTCCTTCTTCATTTCACTGTTTGTTTCATTTTCCTTACTGTCTGTTCCTTTCTTTATCAGTCAAAATCAAAAATTCACTAGTAGAAAAAAAAAAAATGAAGAAAAAAAAAAAGAATGCTCTATTCAATTTGCTTGATATGATTTAGGTTATATACTGTTTCATGTATCAGTTGAAGAAAGCTCTTTTCTGTAATTTTAGCATGACAATTTTAACACGTTTTCTTTAAGCAATAACTAAGCAACTTTGTTAAGATCTCTTGTTAATGCAACTTCATTGCTTATCGTCTGAATAATCCATTTTTTTTATATATCCGATTCTAAAACAAAGACTTTCATTAAACAATAAATTGAAATGTGGAGACCAGGTAAAACAGAAAGCAAGAGGAGATTAAAGTATCTTAAAAAGCTCATTTTTCTTTTTCTTTTCAGCTTTATATATTTATATGTATATATATATATATATATATATATATATATATATATACACACACACTTATATATATATATATATTTATATATCCACATGCATCATATATATGTATATAAATATACATATACACTGCATATATGTATATATACATATACGTGTGTGTGTGCGTGTTTGCGTGTGTGTGGGTGGGTGTGCCTACAGGTTGTATTCAAAGCCAACAAAAGTTTTTTAAGTTTTATTTATTAACTTCTGAGTAGGTGTTTGGCATTAGGCTCACGCTTATACAAATATTGTTTGAATGTTAAGCTTTCACAGGCCGAAGAAAGATTATATTGTCTGTCTGAATTTTTGGGACGAGGCGTTACCATTATTTTACATTTATCATTATTTATATTTTGGACTAATGTCCTCATCTTTGCTGTTATTATCATAGCATTTTGGCTGTTGCACTTTTCAGTCTTCCTCAGATGTCTGTCGATCACCAAAGGTTATCTGGATGGACAGCCACCTGAAGAATCTTGGAGAGCACAATGATTGAAACATTTTGATAATAACAACAATGATAAGGATATTAGTCCAAATGTAAATAACATGAAGAAAGATTATATTTACTTTTCTAAAAATATATTGAAATTTAAAAAAAATTCTTTCTGTTACATCTTAGGTTCTATGTCACACCATCGTGCGACGGGTTTTGTGGTGTGTTTTATTTATTTGTTTATTCTATGTAATTTATTTATTTTAGCCATGCATTTATTGTAGTATGTTTTATTTATACTTATGTTATCTATTTATGCATTTAAATTATTATATATGAATTATTATATCATTATTATTCAAATATATTTAAATATTTATACTTATTTATACAGGGTGCAACAGAAATACTGCTGACATTTACCTCCCAGAAATATCTTCCAAAATAATGGTAAGATATTAGCTAGATGAAGACACCATTGTAACTTGCTTAAGTTCACTAGGACCATACAGGTGAAAGTTTAAAATGTAGGAGGTATTTTTGCTACACACTGTAGCTAATATCTTAATGTGGGTGGTATTTCTGAGAGGTATATGTGGGAGGTATTTCTGCCACACTTTGTACTTTTTTATACTTATTTTATTTATCTATACATTTATTGTGGTGTGTTTTATTTATTTATTTTGTTTATTTAATTACCTTATTAAATATATTGCTAGTAAAACAAATATAGACTTTCTTTGAAAATGGTCGATGAATACTAAAGCACTTAGAATTTGCACAATAGTTGTACAGCCTCAATCCTAATGCCAAATGCCTAATTAGAAAGGAAAAAGTTAAGAAAACCACTTAACAAAAAGAATTTTATTGTTTTTTTTTAATACAACTTGTATTAAAGAAAGATTTATACCTGAATATAATATATATATATATATATATATATATATATATATATATATATATATATATATATATATATGAGTTAAAGATCAAATATAGATCAAATATGGATCAGAATCCAACAGGATGATGATAAGATAAAGAACAAAATGGGAAACATTTATCAATCTAACATGGATCACTTTTATTAAAGCTTTATCAGAGATTGAGAGAAAACAGAAAAAAGACAGAATTTTGGCATTTTCAATTTTGTGTGGTTCAGTTTTCATTGGTCAGTCATGTATCATGTGCATTAAAACCATAGATATTTCTATATGTATGTAACTTTGTAAAAATTCTGATTTGTCTTAGTGGGTTTTAATGCATGTGATACATAACTGACCAGTGTGAATCGAACCACACAAAAGTGAAAATATCAAAATATTGCCTTTTCGTTTGTTTTCTTTCAATTTCTGATGAAGCTTTAATAAAAGTGGAACATCTTAGATTGGTAAATGTTTCCCATTTTGTTCTTTATCTTTATATATATATATATATATATATATATATATATATATATATATATATGAAAATATGCACATGCACATATGTATATATATAAATATATATATATATATTTGAGTGTATGTGTGTATGTGTATATATATATATATATATATATATATATATATATATGTATATACAAATTGCTACTGGTTGTTGTGTGTTTGTTGTTCTTTTTGTTCAATGCTATATATTTTGTTTAGTACAGTAGAGGCTTCTATATTATTTTTCTTCTATTTAACTATGCTTCTTCTTCCTTGGCTATGTTTACATCCTGGTACCTCTGCTTTTTATAGAATCAATGATTACAGCCCTACTAGAGGCGTTGGGAGCAGAGATAGGAGCTGATAGCGCTCAGAGCAAGATAGGTAGGCAATCACACCACTTAGTTCTTTTTATCATTCACTATGAAATTTAGTGTTTGCATACACTATCCTGCCAAAGGCCTTGAGACAGACAAACTGCTACCACTCACTCACTCACTCACCTACCTACCTACCTACCTACCTACCTACCTTTCTACCCTCCTGTATGAGGCTCTCACTGAACCCAGACATAGATTAATACAATTCAGAAATATATTTACCTATAACTAATAATAATAAACTTATCTTCCTATGACTAAGGAAAAATTCATTTTGTCTTTATGGGTAATATCTTATGTAACTGAGTTTTTTTTTTTGTCTTTAATAAAGTTCCTTAATTATTGTTTAAATATTTTGTATATTTTACTTTTTATGTCGCATTCATAATCTTTTAGGGACAATCCAGAAAAAATGCTAACAAAATTCTTGAAACTGGGTGTCCCATTCTTCCAACAGTACCTCTTTCTTACACTAACAAAAAAAAATTAAAGTAAGGGGGACAAGGCTGTTTCCAATGTCTGCATTTACTTTGGTGTGAGACCAAATATTTTATTAAAGGCTTTTCTTCTATAAGTACTATAATTACATTATATTATTCTGTTCATTATTATTTTTTTATATTCATGATATAACAGAAAGTATTAATTATAATGGCTTTGTTTTTGTTTCATTCAAAATAAATTCTAGTTAGCAAATGTATATACTTAATTATATATGTATATATAAATATACGAATGTAATGAGAACGAAAATAATATATAAATTCTAACGTTCACAGCATTAATTCAAAGGAGGGCTCAATACTGAGAGTAGAGCAATAATTACTTATTATAATTTTATCATATAGACAAAAACAATTGCAATTCACTAACTACAAAGATGCAACCTTGTTTTGGTGCATTTCATTGCACCTTGACTGGTGAGAAGCAAAACCAAAATAATTTTGGTTCTCACCAGTCGAAGTGCAACTAAGTGCACTGAAACAAGGTTGCATCTTTTTAGTGAGTAAATTGTAATGTTTTTTGTCTATAGGAAAAAATTATAATACATATATATATATATATATATATATATATATATATATATACATACATATATATATATATATATATATATATCAAATCCACTTATGGATTTGATATTTTTAATATAAGATCTTAAAAAGATGGATTCATAAAAGAGAGCTCAATGTATAGTATAGAGAGCAATATGATATACATCAAAGGAAAAACTGAATGCATAATTGAAAAATTGGTTTTTGAGTGTTTTTTTAAAAAAATATTTTTAATCTATTGTCTGGATAAATTAAAACCATTTTGTAATTTCAGTCTGATGAGACAGGTATTAAAAACTTACCTGGTGAAATAAATTCATTTATAACCGATTTTTTAATGATGCATTAAGTTTTTCCTTTGACATATATATATATATATATATATATATATATATATATAATAAAATATAGTTTTAAGGTATGTTATATTTATGGGTTAAAGTGTTCAATATCGGGGATGGAGCGTATATAAATATAAAAGTGGACACTGAAGTCAGTACCCAGTGGCAACAGTCTGTTTCATGCTAAACACAATCATTATGGCCTGACAATTGCATGAAATTGCCAGCTCTCGGTGTTGACTTCATCCACTTATATATATATATATATATATATATATATATATATATATATATATATATATATATATATTGCCTTGAAATTGCTTCTTGTTCACCAATGTTTAGTTCATTACATGTAGTTTTGTTTAGATATATTTCTTCAAGTTTGATGTTTGTTTTTTCTTTTTCATAATGTCTCAGCTCTAAATCCTTTCACCCTCTTCATGTTTCTCTTGTGTTCTAGAATGTTACCATATCTAATTCTTGGGTAGCACATGTATCCCCTATCATACACACTACATCCATATTTTGCGTTTTTGTGAATGTGTCTCCATGCGCCCATCAACCTGCACACTGACTTTGAGGCCCATCCCCACTCCTGTTGAATTTTGCATGTGCTCCGATCTCTTAGGCCATGCCTGGAGAATTTCCTGCCTACTTCCTTCTAAGAATCTGAAAAACACAAAAATGCAAAAATAGGACATTTATTAAAGGGGCCATACATACTCCACTAGAATAAAAGATATAACAACATTCTACGACATAAAACAGTGACCTAAGAAAGGCTGGACAGTACACGGTTAGAATGTTGTGCAAAAACAAATCCGAAAGATGAATAAATTAAACCATATACAATGAGGTAAAGCAAAACTAAGAACAGTCACATCTAAGAAAAAACAGACAAAATAAAATTAAGTTAGCAAGCAGCAAAGTATAATTGATTTAAAAAAAGGATTTATTCACACCAACCTCATATGACAACAAAATCAATAACAGTTTTACTTATTAATCAAATATTGATTACCTTGGATCTTAGGTCCATATATTGATTACCTATAAATGAGATTTTTTCAGTTATTTTCAATCTTTATTTATTCATGTACATATGTATTGGGTTGAGTCATAAATAGTTTCTGTTTTTGTTTATCAACGACCCACTTTGCTCTTTTCGTTTGGAATCAACGACCCACTTTGCTCTTTTCGTTAAGAATGTGTGGAATCAACGACCCACTTTTCTTTTCGTTAAGAATGTGTGGAATCAACGACCCACTTTGCTCTTTTCGTTAGAATGTGGAATCAACGACCCACTTTGCTCTTTTCGTTAAGAATGTGTGGAATCAACGACCCACTTTGCTCTTTTCGTTAAGAATGTGTGGAATCAACGACCCACTTTGCTCTTTTCGTTAAGAATGTGTGGAATCAACGACCCACTTTGCTCTTTTCGTTAAGAATGTGTGGAATCAACGACCCACTTTGCTCTTTTCGTTAAGAATGTGTGGAATCAACGACCCACTTTGCTCTTTTCGTTAAGAATGTGGAATCAACGACCCATCTTTTCGTTAAGAATGTGTGGAATCAACGACCCACTTTGCTCTTTTCGTTAATGTGTGGAATCAACGACCCACTTTGCTCTTTTCGTTAAGTGGAATCAACGACCCACTTTGCTCTTTTCGTTAAGAATTGTGGAATCAACGACCCACTTTGCTCTTTTCGTTTGGAATCAACGACCCACTTTGCTCTTTTCGTTAAGTGTGGAATCAACGACCCACTTTGCTCTTTTCGTTAAGAATGTGTGGAATCAACGACCCACTTTGCTCTTTTCGTTAAGAATGTGGAATCAACGACCCACTTTGCTCTTTTCGTTAAGAATGTGTGGAATCAACGACCCACTTTGCTCTTTTCGTTAAGAATGTGGAATCAACGACCCTTTGCTCTTTTCGTTAAGAATGTGTGGAATCAACGACCCACTTTGCTCTTTTCGTTAAGAATGTGTGGAATCAACGACCCACTTTGCTCTTTTCGTTAAGAATGTGGAATCAACGAACTTTGCTCTTTTCGTTAAGAATGTGTGGAATCAACGACCCACTTTGCTCTTTTCGTTTTGGAATCAACGACCCACTTTGCTCTTTTCGTTAAGAATGTGTGGAATCAACGACCCACTTTGCTCTTTTCGTTAAGAATGTGTGGAATCAACGACCCACTTTGCTCTTTTCGTTAAGAATGTGTGGAATCAACGACCCACTTTGCTCTTTTCGTTAAGAATGTGTGGAATCAACGACCCACTTTGCTCTTTCGTTAAGAATGATGTGGAATCAACGACCCACTTTGCTCTTTTCGTTAAGAATGTGTGGAATCAACGACCCACTTTGCTCTTTTCGTTAAGAATGTGTGGAATCAACGACCCACTTTGCTCTTTTCGTTAAGAATGTGTGGAATCAAAACACTGAGAATGCTGACATTCCTTACCTTTTCTAAGTGTCGACATATGGTAAATTGTGATATGTTTATCATCTTTGCTAATTCACAAGTACTTTGCTGTGGATTGCTTTCCACTATTGACTTTAGAGCTACAAAGCCTGATGAGTACTTTGGTCTGTGCTCATTTTCCAATGACGTTTGTCCAGAATTAAATTTTACAAACCAATCTCATACTTACTGCTCAGTTATGACTCCTTGACCATAAACACTACATTTTTTTTTCTAAACATCTCCATAGCATTATACCTTTGCTTAAAATCCCATAACATTATGTGACATAAATGTACTTTCAGTCTATCCATTACAAGGCTTTAGAAATTTATTCTTTAATCCACTGTGTATGCTGCCACTAAGGAATATTAGTGGACTCCAAATAACTGTCACATATGATTAGTAGTTAGGATGATACATTTGTCATTACTTAAGACTCATTCATTGATAAGACTATATGATGTCAAAAAAAAAGCTAGATGCATTTAAACATAATGTGTGTGTATATATATATATATATATATATATATATATATCCAAGTATAGGATTGGTGTATACAGAATAAATTCCAATAACCAACAAATACTATTTGATTATAACATAAATATTTTATAAAATCACTACAAGAATAGCCATTTTGTTTCAACACTTCTGGTGTCTTATCAAGTGATTGTGTTGAATAAACCCTTTATTCTACACTAGCAGTAGAGCCCGGCGTTGCCCGGGGATGTAACAGTAAGAGATAGATCAAGTATCGACCATCATAAAGACTGAAAAATAAAATTGACAAAGATTATTGTTTAAGGTTGATGGACACACATGTCTTAATTAGTTTTTTTTTTTTTGTTTTTTTACAAATTGGTCAAACCCAAACTCAAACAAAGACATTGTTTTCAATCTTTATGAGTCTACCGATTGAATAGAATTTTATTATAAACAATTGTCTTGTAAATGGAATTTTTAAAGCATTCTGAATGTAAAAATAAAGAAAAAAGTGTGCAAGACAATAAGAAACACTACCTGCTAAAAAAAAAGTGAGGTTTTGTTGAAATCGGTTGAAAAATGTAGGAAATCCGATCCCATATATAAACAAACACAGACACACACACACAAACAACCTGGGTTTTATAATAAGTATGATTCAACACCACTTGATAAGACACCAGAAGTTTTGAAACAAAATGGCTA